ACTGTAGGTCGTCCTTTCGGATACGATACCATGTGGGGTAGTTACCGTCCCTTGCCTTCCCTTAGTCTAAGATTTCCAAGCAAACCGATGGCACCACCCCTACGTCACATTGCTCATTCCGAATGGGACATATAAATGCCCGTTGAACAGCTCCGATGTCTGCCAGGCTTGCTACAAACACATCCAGACGCTTCAATAGACTTGTACCAATAACCTGAATCCATCAATCGTCTCGGTAACCTTGAGCCTTGCTGTTGGAAGATCGACCCAAGTAGACGACACTGTTCCCACGCTGAAGTCGTCTTCACACCATCGATAAAAATGACCAGCCACCACGTGTTGCTGTTGGGAGGCCATGGAAAGGTAGCACAGTATCTGACACCTCTGTTGCTACAGCGCTCCTGGACAGTGACCAGCATCATTCGCAACCGTGACCAAGTACAGGATCTCAAGAAGCTTGGCGAGAACAAGCCGGGGAAGCTGAATGTTCTGGTCCGCAGTCTCGAGGACGTCAAAAGCGACAGTCAGGCCCAGTCACTCATTGACGAGGTGCAGCCCGATTACATCGTCTGGAGTGCCGGCGCGGGCGGCAAAGGCGGCCCTGATAGGGTGCGTAGTCTCAACCACTTTAGACCCAGCTGAAACCCCTTACATAGATGTAGATGCCGTGACGGTGAAAGAGAATGTACTGACGTTCGCTAGACCTTCGCAATTGACCGCGATGCTGCTATTCACTTCATCAACGCGGCTGTGGCCACATCGTCAATCACCAAGTTCCTGATGGTGTCATACCTGGCATCGCGACGAGCGAAGCCATCGTGGTGGTCTGATGAATCCTGGCAAGCTGCACTGGACACAAACAACAATATACTACCTACATACTATCAGGCCAAGATAGCCGCCGACGAGGCCCTCCACAAGGCGGCCAAGAAGCGCGGGTCCGACTTCGCCGGTATCAACTTGCGACCCGGCACATTGACCGCAGAACCGGCAGGAAAGGTGGAGCTTGGGAAGACCAAGAAGTCCGTAGGGAATGTAAGTCGGGAGTCGGTTGCTCAGGTTGCTGCATTGCTCCTCCAGTCTGAAGGTGTCAAGACGAGTTGGCTTGATCTTCTTGATGGAGAGGAGGACCCGGCGAAGGCAGTGGAACGGGTTGTCCGAGAGAACATCGATGCCACCGAAGGCGAGCCATTTTTCTAGTCAATCTGGGACCGGTAGCGTGATGAATAGGTAGAAATACAAATCGCTATGCTTGAATCTTATGTGATGCCGACGCTCAACTACACGATCAACGCTGCTGTGTATTCCGCGGGCCAGCTCCAGTATACTCTGCTTCTCCGTTCCCGCCACGCTCAACAAGAAACTCGTGCGGCACTTCGTCCTCCTCGTCTTCCCGTTCGTCGGGCCGGGTGACAGTATTGCGCTCAAGCACTGGTGAAGGATCATCATGCTCTTCTTCGTGAGCCACCAACAGGTCCGGCGGTACCTCGTTATCACTCTCTGTGGTCGCTGTGTCATCATGCTCATCATGCTCATCATGTTCATCATGTAAATCCACTAAGTTGTCCTTCCCAGACTTTCCGTTGTGCTTGACGGGGAAGACATTGCCGCTCACAGATCTCCCAAGTTGAGGAGTAAGCGCTTCATCCACATCTAGGTCCGCATCGTGATGCTCGTCGTTGAATCTGGTAGCTCTTATCGCATCGCGGAGCAACTGATCCGCCTGCCTGAAAGCCTCCAATTCTGCTCCAATGGCACATATGAGGAGGTTCCAGCTTCGGTCTTCTGCTTTAAGCAACAGCCGTTCTAGTCCGGTGATAACTTCTGCCATCTTGTCTAGTTGGTCGTGCATGACTTCCTCCGGCGTCGGCTCCTTATTCTTCCCCTTCCCCTCGTCGTGGATTTCGCCCTTCATCTCTTTGCCTAGCCTGGTCTCGAAATCCGAGACGAGCTTCATAGCCTCTTGCCATACTCGTACTCCTTCTTCCAGTGCGGCTCGGTCCTTATCCACGTCACCTTTGCGATCCTCCAGAATTCTTATCTCACTTTCCCACCAATCCCGTGCCATGGTGATGGTCCTGCGCTCAGGGCGAAGGCGTAAGAACTCGACGCCCCCCGGCGACTGCCCTATACCGTCTGGAATTTCGTTGCCCTCCTCGTCTCGCTTCGGCGGCCGCACTGCCTCTAAATCCAGCGGCTTCACTGGCGGGCGCGTTAGTAGAGTCGAGACATTAGCATCAACTTCCTTCAAGGCATTCTTGTAACCACTCAATCCTGCCTCTCTTCGATTATTCACATCCTCAATCCGCCCATCTAGCCACCTCTTCCTGCTTCGGAGCCCAACAAGGCGCTCCTCCAGCTCGACGATCTCACGGGACACCGCACTCCTCTCCCGTCCCAGTTCCCTCAGCTCCTGACCGAGCGGCTCCTGACTATCACTTTCCAAGGCTTTCAGCTGATCCACGATGCCTGCCTTCCGTCCAGCTAGCCGCTTGAGCTGCGTGAGCGCTTTCTTCCTCGTCGCTATGGCGGCGGTCAAGACGACGTCCTCTTCGGTCTTCAAATCTGCCAGAACGCTCATGTTCCGCGCCAGAGCCGTCCTCGCAGCGACTAGTCCCATGGGCTTCCGTCGTGGCTGTCGAACTGGTATGACGACCTGTCCATAGTCTGCTCCCTGCACGTCATCGGAGATCACATGTCGGTTCTGAAGCTGCCGGCTGCTTGTGGAGGAGAGCGACGTGCCATCGCCTGTTGGAGTGGCAGTGCCGGCGTCGCTGGCGTCAGAGCGGCTATCTGGCAGGCGTTCAGGGGCACCAGGTGCTATCCTCGATGTCGAATCCAGATGGGAAGCTAGCCCAGCGGATTGGACGTCGAGGAGGTGTTGTAGTTCTCCCTGGATCGCCCTCTCACGACGTTGAAGGTTGCGCCAGACAGTATCCGGTTCGTAGGTCTGGCGGTCCATAGCGCGACTTGCATGTGAAGACGACACTGCTGAGGAGGCTCGCTCGAAGATGACGCTGCTGACGCTAGTCAGGGCGTTGCGTGCGAAGGACGCGGTGGTCCCATGCGGAGCATGCTGTGTCATATAGCGAGAGGATGAGGTGTCTTCTTCGTCTCGGGAAAGGAAAGCGGAAGAGACTATCGGAGGCGGCGGACCGGCGAAGAGAATTCGGGACGTGGTATTGGGCTTGGAACCAGTTGAACTCGCGTTGTCGCTGTATCTGGCCGATGGAGACGAGCTTCGGTGGGTTGAGGAGCTTCGATAGCGACTCTGCGACGGGCTGGATGGGAGGAGAGCATCATCCGGTCGGGGAGAGAGCTCGGACATGGCATATTCGGCTTGCTGTTGTCGCTGAGGAGGACTGGACGGGTTATGGAATGGTAGGATTGGCGCATCACCGCGCGACAAGGAGAGACGTGGAAGAAATGACGATTTTGAAGTCATTTTGGTGTCTGACCCAGCTGGTGAGCTGCCGTTTCTCGATCTTCTAGACTAATGTATACTGTATGCAAAGCAAATACTGTCAGCACAGAGGGCTCGTACGGATGGTCGGTGGTGGCCTGTCTTCAGTGTCACGGAGCGTCTTGGCTGGGATATTGGGAACAAGACAGTTGCTAACGCACCCGGGGTGCCTGCGGCATGATTGTGATTTGATGCAGGTGGCGGCCAGGGACCGATGCCTGGAGTGTAAGTGAAGCTGACTTCTGGCGTCCACGGGATGCTGGCATGTGCATGTGCTTCTGTATGTGCTCGTGCCTGCTCGTCAATTGTGCACAGCCTTGTGACGCCCATTGGCCAGCAGTTGGGTCATCCATCGACTTCTGTACCGTGGTAAGGGAGTACATACGTACGGTACTTTAGTGGAGAGCTACAGTGCGCTGCTGTGGTGCGTCATTCCCTGCTAGGTCGAAGTGTCACCCCTAACCCGTGGCCCGTGCTTACCGCTGTGGGACGGTCTACCTTAGTTTGGCGCTACTAGTGCGTCGACCCCCTTACACTACCTTAACTTGACATGCACACAATGCCACACATATCTCTGAGATCATAAGGTATATAAGGTAAGGCAGGCCACATATTCACCTGGACCTTGTCCAAGTATTGTATATACCTTTACATCCAGAATAGTGCCCTCTTCTTTTCTCGTACCTTCTGTCTAGTACCCAAAGTCGAAATTTGCCGTGGGCCGTCATCGACATGGCGAACGACTCTTGTGACCTTGTCTTTTCTTACCAGTCGCTCTCTGTTCTTACATGTATCACCAAGTTATACACGTCTTCAGCCATCTGCAAGCTCTTATTTAAGGTAGTCCCCGATCTGAACTGTCCCGTTTGTCTCGTGCCACTGAGAGATAGACCTGAAATGACTATCGAGTTTCCCTTTTTGACGTCCTTGCTTCACGTCACGGTTTCCCTGCCTTTTACAGACCGTTATCTTGAATTTGTCTGTGACAGTTCTTTGTGCTACTCCGCGTTCTGTCGAGGCCGCAGTGCGGTAGCTGTTCAAAGCGGTAGATGGCGTGACATGGCTGTAAAGGCTCGATTCCTGGTGCCTCCGACGCGGGAGTATAGCAGAATGAAACACACTCTGGCACTTTGTGTGGTTCGATCATCTTTCTGATCAAATCTTGAGGTTTTCAGATAGTGACACAAATTCGCCTTCAGGGCGGAGTAATTCGCTATCTTGAGCTGTTCTCTGGCGCGGTGACGTCTGGGACGGACCAGGCATGTGGTTCTGATGAGCGCCAGTGTGCTCTCCGATTGTATCGTACATGTGTTGCCTCTGTTCTGAAGAAGAGTACTGCCACTCGAGATTGTAATTCTCAGGGATGCCCGAGACATGATCGCTAGGCCTGGCTTAAGCATGACACAAACAGGCGTGGATGGCTGTTGGTTGGGTTGGGTGATACCGATGAGAGTCAAGGTGAAGTCTGTTTTGTTGGTGATTGGCCTTATAAGACAGAATTATGACTTGTCAAATAAAAACGGAAACCAGAAGAGTCCCTCTTGGTAGCTCAATGGGAAGAGCCTGGCATAGCACGCTTACCTGCGTGGCCAGAGACGTGGGTTCGATCCCCACCCAGAGGGTTTCTTATGGCATTCCGCAGGCCTTCTGAAGATCAGGCACTGGTAAATTCCACCTCCTGCTGCTCTGCGAGCTCGCATGACTTCCTGGACTATCTGCCATGCTGCACCTAGCCCTTTCGCACGTTGAACATCGCCGTAGTGTCCGAGGAGATGACTGCTAAAGAAGGCCTCTTTTTTAAAAACCATAATACCTCCTCATTTCTATAAGCTTTAGTAACTCATTTTATTTTAAAAGAACCAATTTCTTTTTATAAAAAATCTTAACTTGGACTAGTGTTAGAAACTGTCGTTCTATCATTCACTTTACCAGTCCTTCACCGAGGCGTCGAGGAATCTTTCATATAAATTACTACCTTACGCGGTGATATTTGAGCCGAACCTCAATCGGTCTCTCTTCAATCAAAACTGAGCTACTACCCGGGACGTCTCTTTCCATTCCGAAATCATCATATTTCTCTGCCTCTCAGTCAGACGTGACCATTGTCCTTACTACAAGTTGCTGTTTGTTTTTTCACCTGTCGCACCAACTCATCTCCAAAGGGACATCAAATCCTCGATTCCAGCTTCCGGACTATTTTGTTCTGTACCACGCTTGATCGGCGTATGTGTATTACTCACTATCGTTGACTGCTGAATCTCCATCCTAACACTTCATCCAGATTCACCGTGAAGAGATGGGACGATGCAAGACCGCTATGAAGTCTCGCCGGAAGGCGCTGACCCATCCTCAACGCAGAAATACCCAGTTCCAGCTTAAAAAAGTGACACTGGGGAAAATGCTCCCGCGAGTTGGCTTCGATTGGCAGCGAGTTAATACACACCTCGACCTGCGTGCCGAATTCATTGTTCAACTTCAGGATGCCTTCTACGCAACCTACGGCCGCAACGTCAGCATCCCCAAGTTTGATAAGGAAATGGCAAAGGTCATCTTACGCGGAACCGAGATGGATGAATCGGTCACCGACGCCGAGCCCATCGAGTTTTGGGCAGAGGTCAAGGCTTCGTTCAGCGGCAGCGGCTCCTTCGTTGAGAACCGACGCTGCACACCGCAGGCTCTTCACGCCTTCATTGCTTTCGCTATCGAGGCCAGAGAGATCAGTATCCACTCTGCTGCTCCGAATAGGCCAAATGCAGAGGGCAATTTGGCCAAGGCAGTGACCTCGCTGCTTAATGAGTTTGCCCACGAACCATACGCAGATACCAGAGAGGATTACTACGAGCGCGCCGAAGCAGCGCGTTGGGCCGCGAAGACTTATGTGGATGGGCAGAAGGTGGACAGTGATGAGGAGACGGATAATGGCGAGGGGAGCGAGGATGACGTTGAGGAGTTGAAAGACTACGAGGAGAAGGAATATGAGATACAGGAGCATGATGAGAAGAAGGCGGATGTCGAGAAGCAGGATGGCGAGGAGATGGAGGGGGTTGAGTGTGAGGCTGACAGACTGCGACAAGACTTCGTCGTGGTCGAGAGTACGATGGCTGGCGTCCACCTGGACAACTCGAAACCCGGCGGTGGGAGAGTTGTGGAGTAAACAGGAAATGAGGAGCAGAAGCGTGTGTTGAGAACCATTACACAGGCGAAATCACCGGAATGCGAGCATAGGAAGACACTTGTTTAATTTTATATGGTGGTGACTATCCATATCTGACTTGTTCAGTTCCTTCGCGAAACCAATCTTCGGTCTGAACGGCTTCATCGCCGCTTGCATAGTTGATTATCGTGCTCTTGGTCGCAGTGTATGCGTTGTACGCTTCAATACCATTCTCACTTCCAACGCCGCTGGCCGTCTTCCCTCCACCCCATGGGCTGCTCGGGTCATTGCGATGATGGGTGTTGACCCACACAATGCCGGACTCTATCTGTTCGGAGACACGGAATGCTTGAGACAGGTCGCGAGTCCAGATGGCGGCTCCTAGACCAAATTCGCTGTCGTTCGCCAACTGGATCGCCTGCTCTTCGTCTTCGAACTCGGCTACCACAATCACCGGCCCAAACGCCTCTTCACGCCAGATTCGTGTCTTCAGTATGGCATTCACTGTCTTTCCGAAAAGCACAGTCGGCGGATAGAAGTAGCCCCTCGACAAATCTGTTCCGTCAAGAGGGCTTAGGCCCTTGATCCGCTGGCCACCGCAGAGAACATTTCCGTTACCACTAGAGATAGCTTCCTCGACGAGCGCCTCAACGTTTCTGAGCTGGCGAGCCGATATCAGTGGACCCATCATTGAGTCCGGGTTGCTCGGGGCTCCCATCCGGCGCGTGATTGATTCCGCTTTGGTCTTCAATTTCTCCATCACTTCATCAACCAGAGCGTGGTGAACGATGAGCCGAGTGGCGGCCACACAAGTCTGGCCGCTTGCGATAAAGGCCCCAAACGCGACTCCGTTCACGGCAGCTTCAACATCGGCCTGTTCGCAAATAACCACCGGCGCCTTCCCGCCCAGCTCAGCGGTATACCGCGTCAGGTTTCGACCCACGATGGACCCGATCTCTCGTCCGGCGGCCGTGCCTCCCGTCACATCCACCTTCTTCACCAGCGCATGCTCGACGAGCGCCTTGCCTGTAACGGCCCCGTACCCTGGCAAGACCGAGAATACGCCGTCCGGAATGCCGGCGTCCTTGATAATCTTGCCGAGCTTAAGTGACGTCAAGGGGGTGAGCTCGCTAGGCTTCAGAACAACACTATTTCCGGCCGCAAGAGCGGGAGCTAGCTTCTTGACAGCGATGAGCAGGGGATGGTTGAAGGGCGTGATCTGTACGACGACGCCGAGGGGCACGCGGTCGGTCCAGTTGTGCAGCTTGCCCATGGTTGGCAGGACGGAGCGCTCCTCGGTCCGCAGCAAGGCAGCGTAGTACTTGAACCAACGTACCAGCGATGGTACCTGGGCGGCCATCTCACGGGTTGCGCGTCCTGTCTGCCGCACCTCGAGGGGAATAAGGTCCGGCAGGGCGTCGGTCAGAAGGGAGGCAATCCTATCGAGGGTGTCGGCGCGGTGATGGCGGGATGCTTTCGACCAGATGCCGCTTTTGTAGGCTGCATAGGCCAACTGTACTGTGTCATCTACATCTTGGGACGAGGCGGCGTAGCAGCTTGGGATGTGGTGAGATTTTGTTCAGGTACGTCAGTGTTTGTGGGGATTGTGTACTTACTGGGCAAATATGTCGGAGGTTGCTGGATCCTCTATTGGTATTCTTCATCATGGATGGGTTAGAATGCCCATTAGACCAGAGGTTTGTTTTGTATGGCTATCTCAAGCTGAGAGGTACTGCTCACATATCATTTGCATCACTGCCTGCCCGCGGCTCTCCAGCCACCCATAAGGGCCACGGTGCATCGGTCATGGTCGAATGAGATACAAGATATAAACTATGGTAAAAGAAGGAAGCAGAGTGGCCTTTATGCAGACGTGAAGTTCAGTGGCGTTGGTTCCATGTCATGCATGAGTTATACGGCTTTGACGTCCCGCTTGTAGAGATAACGTGAGACTCGTGGGTGTAATTGTACGTAAAAGCCGCCTGTAAATTGGACGCAACAGCTGGATGTTGCGACCCGAAGAATCTGCTTAGTAATCCGCATAAGTACCTTCCGTGTTCGGAATAAGGATACCTATGCTCCCATGGTCCCCCGGATGACATGGCTCTAAGCTTCACGCAACCTTGTACTAGCATTGCTGGCCAAAAGCCAGGTAACTATGTTGCTATTGAAATGTCGTGTCTCACGCACTTCGTTCATTGTATCATATATCCAACAAAGTGAAACGTAACCAAACAATGGCTGTGCTTATCAACCTGGGTATCTCGAACAAAGAAATGACTCGGTATTCTGCTACCTGTCATAACCAGCCATACTTCAAACTCATTGATCACTCACACCTCGTATAAGAACATCCCTGTGCACTGCGATGCCATGATCAGGTACCCTAGACGCCGTTTCCGGCGGCTCAGGGGTACTAGCCTTGATCTCCGTCTTTACCGTCGGTTGCAATCCAAGCACCCGCGAGCTCTTGTCTACCGGCGGAATTGGGGGTGCAAGCTTGTGTCCAGTGTGGTTCCGGCCAGCGCTCTCGGTGCTCGCCCGAGTTGACTCAAGGTCCTGTTTTATCTTCAAGTCCTCCAGGCCAAAGACTCCGCCCGAGAAGTCACCTTCGCTGTTGATGCGTTGCAGCTCAAGGTCCTCGGTATGCAGAACGTTCGAGGCGTTGACAAAGGTACGCTCAGAGTCCACATTGGATGGTTTGCGACCATCGGCGACAGTCCCAGTAGCGGTGTGGTAAGCATTGGTACCGTCGTGGCCGGAGAAACTCTGCTCATAAGTCTTGGAACTCTTTCGGTGATGTGACCACCCGAGATGAGGGAAGATCCTGGAGATTAGAGGTCTTAATACTGGCAAACAGACGCAAAGAATTGCGCTGCAGAGCTCCGTGATGGACCAGCAGGACGAGTCCACATTGTCCCAGGTGGTGTCCTCCGACAGGTGAAGATACTGGATTCTGATGATGGAGATCGCGCAAGTCTGGTTGAAACAAAAGGGTTAGCCGGCTTCAGAGCGACTCTTCCAGAAATCATGACCTCGCGGTGACTTACGAAGAAACCAATACTAAAGATGCCCATGAGCAGAATCTTTTGCGGCCGTTGAAGGTTCAAGTGCCGTAGTACCGGAAGGGGCAGAACGAAAATCGTCACGTCTGTGACAATGTTTCCAGCAGCGTTGATGTACCAGAAGGGAAGGTTGGGTATACAAGTACCCGGAACTGAGGAGTCCCAGAACTTGTTGACGGGGCTGCAGTTGAAGATGACAATGAGGAGCTGTGACAGTGCCCAGCATCCGATGAAGACACCTGCCACTATGATTATCTTCTGCATCTTTTTTACACGGAATACTCGATAGTATTGTGTAAGGAAGGTGAACTTGACTGCCGTCAAGGAGGCATTATATAGCACGATAGAGACATAGAAAGTCTAGAGGGCATCAGATACTGATTCCATGCTCGATCTCGAGGTC